TGGGATATGGGATATGGGATATGGGATATGGGATATGGGATATGGGATACAGGAGCCATCCTCTCAAACCTGCAGGCTGGAATGGGATATGGGATATGGGATGCAGGAGTCTTCCAGGCCATTTCCCCACCCACCCATTAGGCACTTCCAAAGTGTGCTTAAGAATTGGGAGCTCAGGTGTCCCACATTCCCACAGAGGGGCAAAACCCCATCATTACACGATGTTAGGGTGAAATATCCACTGTGAAGGAGCTGGATGGTGTCCCTCTCCTTCCTGCACCTCCTGAGCTCCCACTCCCAGCCCGCCCTGGGCCACAGGCAGCGCTGAGGGCAGGGTGGGGACAGCACCTGGTACTCAAAGGAGGGCGTCAGGCGGTAGTTGAGCATCTCCTGGTGGAAGACGGGGGTGATGCTGCCCGACATGGGCGGGACAATCCAGACCCAGTCGGCGGGACAGCCCCCCCGGCACCGGTACTCGTTCTCCATGTGCTTGATGAAGGACTCGGTGGCCGAGTGGTGGTCCACGATGGTCACCTTGTCACTCTGTCAGGGGACAAGAGGGCAGAGCCAGCAGCTGTCAACACATCCCAGAGGGAAAAAGATAACATTTTACATTTGGAGCTGCTTGTCCCAGATATTCCTTACTCCCATGGTCTTTGGGGATGATCCCAGGTGGCTGCTGAGCGTGGTCTTCCCAAGGAGGCTCTAAAGCTGCCCCAGTGCTTTGAGAACAGATGTGCTATGGGAGCCCTGCTCCCCTGTCCTGGCCAAGCAAAGATGGGATGGATGGGATGGAGCATCAGACCCTTGGGAAGCTCTTCCAACCCAGCTCTGGGAAGGACTCTCACCCTTTGAAGCGGGGTGGCCAAGGATTGGTTTTGTTACTCAACCTTTAGGTGCAGCCTGGGGGAGAACCTGCGCCAGTTCCTGCCTCATGGATAGGTCAGAAGGGCTGGATTTTCCCCCTGTTGGGATATTCCTTCTGGACCAGCAGGACTCAAGTGCTGGCAGTGTTGTTTTACAACATCCAGAGTGTGGAGATTATTAAATCTCACTGCAGCAGCCCAAATTCAGGAGGCACCGCCCAATTTCAGCTGTCGTGCTTGGGTGGATGTCTCCACACTTGTCCCACCCAGTCCCTGCGTCCCTCCAGGCTGGCCCAGACAAAGCAGGGCCCTGAGGTACCTGGAAGCTGTAGAGCACAGCGATGTTGATCTCCACCAGGGCTTGGTCCTTCCACAGCGAGGACGTTTTCCTCATATCCAGGTTCATTTTCTTGGCCACTTGCTGTAACAACACGTGGCAGGAGGGGAAGGATTTAACGGCCAAAAAACAAGGATTGGAGAGCTCTGCTTGGGGAGAGGAACCCAGAGGAGAGGCCCAGGCTGGCACAAGGCACCCACAGGGCAGGGAAGGGCTGATGTGGTGCCTTCCTCTGGGAAGAAATCCTGCCTTTTCCTCTCCTTGGCAGGAGCACGGCCTTTCCTCCTCCCTGAGCAGAGGCAGGTGGCCAAATGCTGCTGAGGAGGCCACCAGGAGCAGCTGGACACTCACACTGCTCCCACCCCTCCAGTTTTCAGGAGACTGGGGAGGGACAGAGCCCCTGTAAATAACACAACCTTCCCTGGGAGGTTTTGATGGATCCAGACCCTCTGCACAGGCACCTTCCCATGGCTTGGCTTTGTCTCTCCTACTGTGGGTATTCCATGAGCCATGGGACCAGCTGGAGGGTCCCCAAGGGCACACACATCCCTGAGGAGCCACCAAGTGTCTCTGCACCTTTTCATGTTTCAGCACTTGGCCTCAGCTGAGCACAGGTGCCTGCTGATCCCTAAGATTCTTTGGGAAGCCTGTGGGGAACTCCACACTGGCTGTGTCAGACCCCTGCTGGGCCCACAGGACACAGAGACCTCGCCAACCTCAGCCATGTGGCTCCATGAAAACTCACAGAATTCACAGAATGACCAGGTTGGAAGAGACCTTCAAGATCATCGAGTCCAACCCAGCCCAAACACCTCAACTCAACCCTGGCACCCAGTGCCACATTCAGGCTTGTTTTAAACACATCCAAGGATGGTGACTGCACCACCTCCCTGGGCAGAGAATTCCAGTACTTTATCACTCTTTCAGTGAAAAGCTTTTTCCTGATATCTAACTTAAATTTCCCTTGGTGCAGCTTGAGACTGTCCTCTGGTTCTGTCAGTGCTGCCCGGAGAAAGAGACCGACCCCACCTGACTGCAAACACCTTTCAGGAGCTGTGCAGAGTGATGAGGTCCCCTCTGAGTCTCCTTTTCTCCAGGCTGAGCACCCCCAGCTCCCTCAGTGGTTCCTCACAGGAACCTCACAGGGTTTGTGTTCCCAGCCCCTCTCCAGCCTCATTGCCTCCTCTGGATGCACTCAACCATCTCGACATCCTTCCCAAAGTGAGGGCCCAGAACTGGCCCCAGAAGGGACATCCTGTGCTCCCCCGGTGTCCTGCCTGTCCCCAGGAGCCCCAGACCCGCCGGGAGCAGCAGGAGTCACCTCCAGGATGTTGTAGCGGGAGCTGTCGCAGTAGTCGCGGACGCCGATCTCCGTGCCCATGTACCAGCCGCTGAAGGGGCAGGCGGAGAACTCCAAGCCCCCGATCTCCAGGAGCATGTTGGAAACGGCTGGCAGCCCGTACCACTTCAGGCCCAGGTCCTTAAACCACTCAAACCTGCCGAGGAAAGAGGTCAGGATTAGGCAACCAGCCAGGAGTTCCCTTCCCAGTGCAGGCAGGGGGATGGGGGAGGTCACTTTGTCAGCAGGGCGAAGGACTTGAGCAGAACATTTCCATCAGTAGCTCCCTTTGGGGCTGTTCATGGGGACAAGGTGATTATGGAGGGGTGTAAGCCCTGGGAGGCTTCAAGGAAAAGGAAACTTTCCAAGAAAATCCATCCGGATACAAGGGAAAGCCCTGAGACATGGACACTGCCCTGCCAGCTTTGCCAACTTCACTGGAGGGAAAACCTGGGAGAGGTTTTGGGTGCAGCCCCCCCAGGCCATGGCAAGGGTGGAACCGGAGGAGCTGAGTCCTGCTGATCCCCTCGAGCAGTTTTGGGGCTGCCCCTGACTCACTTGGGGTGTCGGATGGGCACTTCCAGCACGAGCTCTGGTGGGATTTCGAAGAGCTCGGGGTCGTTGCCGTTGGCTTGGAGGAGCAGGGGCAGGATATCGAAGCGCCCGTACGGAGCCTTCCAGCCTTGCTGGATGCAGATCTGCAGGGAAAAGAAAGGCAGGGTTGGTGTCCCAGCAGGTCACCTGCTCTCCAGACAGTGTGGTCAGGGGATTGTGTGCTCCTGGGCACTGGTCCTGGCAGGATTTCTGTCCTTGTGGTTGAGCAAAGGGAGCTACAACAGGGGGTGGCCTGTCTCACCCATGGCCAAGTCAGGGGAATTTGGGATGTAGATGAGCCTGGAATTGGTCCCCAGTAGGATCATGGCTTGTGCCTGCAATGGTGAAGGAGAAAACAGGTGAGAAAAGCAGGGAAGTGACAAAACCCAGCCTTTACTCCTGGGGAAAAAACCTGAGGGTGACACAAACCCAGCCTCCCCAGCTGGAGCTGCACGGGACAATCCCAACCTGCTTGACCCAGCCTCTTCTCCCTCTGAGGGTGCCTAGAATTCTTGTGTGTCCCCAGCAGGTGTGGGAAGGGCAGGTTTAATGTGGGAAATGGATTTGTAGGGAATTCTCCAAGCCTGACAGAAGGCCCACACAGTGTTCATCTGTGTTCAAACCTTGAGACAAGAAATGCTGACTTAGAAATGCCACGGAATAGGGCAGGCATTGCTGGGAGAGAAATGGAGCTAGAAACAAGCTTCAAAGCTGGCCTTGCAAACAAGACTGGATACTTTGGAGAAATGGAACTGTGAAAATGCATTGTAGTGGGACTCACGAGGGGTAATTTTAGATTATTGGCTTTAAGGCATCTACAGCATGGTGTGGTTAAAGCTGATAGACCAAGAAACACTTACAGTGTTTTGTAATTAGGAAATAATCAGCTTCTGATTGTGATGGTGTGAATTATAACATCTGTATTGCCTCACCCTTCTCATGAGACTGAAAATGGAATTAAAGTTTTTAAAACACCTCTCGGTTGCCCCATCTCTCATTTTTGGGGACACGGAGATTACGGAGGGGTGTAAGCCCTGGAGGAGGCTTCAAGGAAAAGGAAACTTCCTGAGAAAATCCATCTGGGTACAAGGGAAAGCCCTGAGACATGGACACAACTGCCCTGCCAGCTCTACCAACTTCATTGGAGGGAAGACCTGGGAGAGGTTTTGGGCGCAGGCCATGGCGAGGGTGGAGAAGGGTGAGGAAAGGGCAGAGTGGCACAGCTGTACCTCGGTCAGCTCCACGTTGGCGGGGTCCCCCAGCACGGAGCCGTCGGGCTGTTTGTAGCCGGCGTAGCGGATCAGCTGCGCGTTCCAGATGCGGAAGTCGTGCTTGCTGTCCGTGCGCTGCGGGAAGATGGTGATGGCAGACCTGGAAGGGAAAGGCAGCGCTGGTGATCAGCGCCAGGAGTTGTGGGAGGGGTGAGATCCTGGAGGAAAAGGTGCTGCCACCAGCTCTGGGTGTGCCCTGAGTGAGGAGTGTGAGCTGTGACGCTGGCGGCTCTGGAATTTGGGGTGTTCCCTGATGCTGGCTGCTAGCAGGGGGGGGGTCAGACAGACCTGGAGGGCAGGCTGAGCTCTGTGCTGGATGCAGAATGTAGGAAAGGGGAAATAATGGGGAAATATTCCCTCTGAGGTCCAACAGGCAGCAAGAGGAGAGAGACTTGGACCAGCAGTGCTCCTCCAGCCCAGGTCGTGTCCCTCTAACCCTTCCCAGGATGGCTGCTGGCTGTGCAGTGCCCAGACCCAACCCCAGCAGGTCCCAGAGCTGGATCTCCACTCGTCCAGAGGCCCTCGGGTTCAAAGCCTGGTGACTCCCTGGTGGCTCACCTGAGGTTCCCCTTGTTGGTGGCATACTTGATGTGGTTGCAGATGTAATTGAACATCCCATGGGCTGTGGTGCAGTCCCGGGCATCGAACACCTGGAACGGGGAAGCAGTTGTGTGTCGGAACTCAAAATGTCCCTCAGACATTTCTGGAGGTTCTGGGCCCAGGTCAGAAGCATTTGAGACCCTGGCAGGCAGCTGCAAACAGCTGTGATTTTGGGTTTGAGCCATGGAACAATTTACCAACCTTGCAGGAAGAACAAGAAGTCACAAAAGTTTAGATATTATAGTAGAAGTAGTCACAAAGTAAAGGTAAGAATTTTTGAGTGCTGTACAGGGGGGTTTTGGTTTTGTACATGGGGGTCAGAAGTTTCAAGATGGAGGGATTTGGGCCTGCCCTGTCCTCCCTCTTTCTCCTTCCTCACCTCCATGTTCTTGGTGATGTTGGCACTCACAGATTGGTTTAGAGTAGAAAAGCACCATTTAATATAGGTAATAGGCATTGGGGAAAACTGTAAACATGTAACATGTAATGTACCATATAAAAGATAGAAAAGCACCATTTAATATAGGTAATAGGCATTGGGAAAAACTGTAAACATGTAACATGTAATGTACCATCTAAAAGATAGAAAAGCACCATTTAATATAGGTAATAGGCATTGGGGAAAACTGTAAACATGTAACATGTAATGTACCATATAAAAGATAGAAAAGCACCATTTAATATAGGTAATAGGCATTGGGAAAAACTGTAAACATGTAACATGTAATGTACCATCTAAAAGATAGAAAAGCACCATTTAATATAGGTAATAGGCATTGGGGAAAACTGTAACCATGTAACATGTAATGTACCATCTAAAAGATAGAAAAGCACCATTTAATATAGGTAATAGGCATTGGGGGATAAACTGTAACCATGTCACACGTAATGTACCATATAAAAGAGAGCAGCAGCCCTGGGCGGGGAGAGAAGAAGCAGTCGGGGTCAGAGAGGATGTCAGGGTGTGTGTGTGCCTCTGCCTGAGCTGTGAGCAAACCACAGCAGCCCCAGAAGAAAATCTTTTAGATAAATTGCAATAAACTGCCTTGAGACCAAACAACAAGAGGCTGCTGAGCTTTTCTTTGGAAGCATGGGTGGAGGAGAGACTTTTCCACCACACGGAGCCACCCCGAACTAGAGATTGCTCCGGCAGTTGTGGGGATGTTCCAGCTCCTAGGGCAGAGCCAGGCAGAGGAAACACAGCACATGGAGAACTCCAGGCACCACTGTGGCTTCTCAGGGATCTAAAGCTCCATAATTATGTGTTCCCTGCCTTTGGAACACGTGGAAGTCTAATCCAGCTGCCCCTTTTGCTTTGGAGAGGTGACTCATCTGCTGCTCAGGCAAAAACCTCCTCGTTCCCGTACTGCCAACCTGCTGCTGTTCCTGCCTCATCCCCCAGCAATTATGGAGTCTGCTCTGCTTCTCTTGTAGATCAGCACTCCAAGCTGGAGCAGGACAGGTGTCAGTCAGGGCTGAGGGACAGGGAATCATGGAATCATGGAATGGTTTGGGTTGGGACTTTTAAAGAGCATCTCATCCACCCCGTGCCCATGGCAGGGACACCTTCTACTGCCCCAGGCTGCTCCAAGCCCCATCCACCCTGGAAGTAGCCTTGGACACTTGCAGGGATCCGGGCAGCCACAAAAGCATCAGGAAATCAGGAAGGGGGAGCAACAGAAGCGACTGTGCCCACTCCCTGTGTGAAGCAGCCACAGGAGCTCTCAGCAGCGCTGGATTTGTTCCAGTTACAGAAGGAGAGGACAGCTCTGTACCAAGGGATTCCCTAGGGATCACTGATTTCCAATCCTGCTCTGTGTTTCCCTTGCCAAAGGGGCGCTGAGCCAAATCCTCCCCTGCTGGATCTCAGTACTGAGGACAAATGTGTCCTGCTGCCTCGCTCCAGGTGGAGCAACAGGTTGGAAACAGCAGGAAAGATGTTGGAGCAGGATCTGATATTGGAAAATGTCCCCTGGAGCACCAGCTTCCATTTCAGACACAGCCACCTCATCTCCCATCCCACAGACACTTTTCCAGCTCCTGCCAACATCCCAAAGCTGCTGAGGGGAGCTGTGTGTGCTGCTGAACGGCTGCCCCTGGACCTGTGCTGTGCCTCCCAGGTGGTGGAGAGCAGGATTTGCCTCTCCAAAACTCCAGCACAGCCTCTGGCAGGAATCTCCTGGGTGTTTCTGGTGGGGTTGGTGCTGACCTGCAGCTTGGACCACTGGATCCTGCCCACGCAGCGTGCCGCGTTGCGCCAGGCGTGCTTGGCTCCGTAGATCAGCTCCGTGTCCCGCAGCTGGTAGGTGTCGGTGGCCTCAATCTCCTTGGTCACCTCCTCCAGCCTCTCCATGTGGGCCTTGGAGCCGGATCTGGGGAGGTTGGTAGCACAGGAGGTGCAGGGTCAGGCGGGGGGCAGGGGATGCTGCTGCTCTCCACTGGGAATACCTTGTTCCTGCACACACCCACAGGGATTTTGTGGGTGCTTGTCCCAGCTTTGGGATAAGAGGTGGGCAAGGACAGGGGGAGGGACAGTGGCTTGTGCAGAGACATGACAAACACCACAAATGAAACTCCACCCAAAAGCATCTGCTGAAGGAGCACCAAGGCTTCCCCGTGCTGTGACTCACATGCATGGGAGAGCAGATAATGAAATCATGGAATGGTTGGGTTGGAAGGGACCTTAAATCCCATCCCATTCCACCCCCTGCCATGGGCAGGGACACCTTTCACCATCCCAGGCTGCTCCCAGCTCCATCCAGACTGGCTTTGGGCACTGCCAGGGATCCAGGGGCAGCCACAGCTGCTCTGGGCACCTGTGCCAGGGCCTGCCCACCCTCCCAGGGAACAATTCCCAATTCCCAATCTCCCAATCCATCCCTGCCCTCTGGCAGTGGAAGCCATTCCCTGTGTCCTGTCCCTCCATCCCTTGCCTCAAGTCTCTCTCCATGTTTCTTTTTGCCTCCTTCAGGAACTGGAAAGCCGCAATGAGGTCACCCCAAAGCTTCTCTTTCCCGGGCTGAACAATCCCAACTCCCTCAGCCTTTCCTCCCAGCAGAGCTGCTCCATCCCTCTGATCATCCTGGTGCCTCCTCTGGCCTGGCTCCAGCAGCTCGGGGTCCCTCCTGCGCTGGGCCCGGTGCTGGGGCAGCTCTGGGGGACACCGGGGACATCTTGGTGCCAGCAGCAGCCCCGGGCTGTGGCTGAGGAGCGCTCACCTCTTTATGGAGGAGTAGTACTGGTCAATGAAGTCCTTAGCCAGGAGCAGCACCTCCTCCTTGCTCCTGGTGTCCTCTGACTTGCGGATGTGGGGGCTGGGGGTCATCACGGAGCCCATGCAGATCTGCTCGGTGCACGCCATGGCCTGAGGGGACAGGAGGGACAGGAACGCTCTGAGGGGACAGGAATGGTCTGAGGGGACAGGAGGGACAGGAATGGTCTGAGGGGACAGGAACGCTCTGAGGGGACAGGAATGTTCTGGGAGGACAGGAGGGACAGGAATGGTCTGAGGGGACAGGAACGCTCTGAGGGGACAGGAGGGACAGGAACGCTCTGAGGGGACAGGAATGGTCTGAGGGGACAGGAGGGACAGGAACGCTCTGAGGGGACAGGAATGGTCTGAGGGGACAGGAGGGACAGGAATTCTCTGAGGGGACAGGAATGGTCTGAGGGGACAGGAGGGAGCAGGAATGCTCTGAGGGGACAGGAGGGACAGGAATTTTCTGAGGGGACAGGAATGTTCTGAGGGGACAGGAATGGTCTGAGGGGACAGGAGGGAACAGGAATGTTCTGAGGGGACAGGAGGGATAGGAATGCTCTGAGGGGACAGGAGGGAGTAGGATGGTCTGAGGGGACAGGAATGGTCTGAGGGGACAGGAGGGAGTAGGATGGTCTGAGGGGACAGGAGGGACAGGAATGCTCTGAGGGGACAGGAGGGACAGGAACGCTCTGAGGGGACAGGAGGGACAGGAATGTTCTGAGGGGACAGGAATGGTCTGAGGGGACAGGAGGGACAGGAATGTTCTGAGGGGACAGAAGGGAGCAGGAACGCTCTGAGGGGACAGGAGGGACAGGAATGCTCTGGAGCCACCATGGTACTGCTGCTCACCAGAGCTGGGCTGAGGCAGTCCGTGACCACCCACACAGAGCAAGGTGGTGTCTGACAAACAGGGACATCCCAGCTGGCTGGGGACACCGGGTGGTGGCAGCCAGGCCTTGTGCAGCCGCCACTTCTCCCTCCTGATCCAGGCAATGCAGAGATGGGATTCACACCCCAGCTTGGCATGAAGTCAAATGCTTTTCCTTATTTATCCCAGATGCATTTGCATCTCTCTGATTATTGCACCAGATTCGAAATTCAAACCCTACTGGAGTGTCTCAGGTTGCAAGATGTGGCTGGGGGTCTGTGTTCTATCCCCATCTGTCAGAGCTGGGGCAGTTCTCTGCTTTTTTTGGGCAGTTTTTTCTTTATCTCTCCCACAGCCAATCCTCCCTCCAGGAGATCTCTGCTGTCCATGGCCACTGAGTGTCCCTGCATGGCTGAGAAAATTCCATCATCCATGGGAGATGCTGTGCCCAGGGGAGGAGCCAAGCATTCCTACCTGGATCCAATCTGACCTGGGAACAGCACAGCAGCCTTTGCCCCCTGCATTCCCAGAGGAGCAGCTTCCTTCCCCCTGCATTCCCAGAGGAGCAGCTTCCATCCCCACTGCATTCCCAGAGGAGCAGCTTCCTTCCCCCTGCATTCCCAGAGGAGCAGCTTCCATCCCCACTGCATTCCCAGAGGAGCAGCTTCCTTCCCTCTGCATTCCCAGAGGAGCAGCTTTCTACCCCACTGCATTCCCAGGGGAGCAGCTTTCTTCCCCCTGCATTCCCAGAGGAGCAGCTTTCTCCCCCCTGCATTCCCAGAGGAGCCCAGGCCCATCTCCCCCAGCCCTGGAGCTCCAGAGGAAAACTCCCCCCTTGTGCAGGATCCTGCTCCAGCAGAAGCACAGCTGGCACTGCAGGAGGGCTGAGCCCCCCTGGGATGGGGCTGAGCCACCTCCCTGACCCACAGGGGGACAGGGCATGGTCTGACTCTGGCAGGGTTGTTTTGTATTACTGCATTTTCTTTTTTTTAATTTTCAATTTTTTTCCCCTAATAAAGAATGGTTATTTCTGCTCCCATATCTTCTTCTGACAGCCCCTAATTTCAAAATTATAATAATTCAGAGGGAGGGGATTTACATTTTCTATTTCAAGAGAGGCTCCTGCCTTCCTCAGCAGACATCTGTCTTTTCAAACCAAGACATGGAGACAAGACTGAATTCCCCCACTTCTGCATTCCTGGGTAAATCCACCTTGGAAGCTGTGCCATCCACTCAACGGTGCTCAGGGAATTTTGGCCAGCTCTACTCACCATGGCGGTCTTGAGGTGCAGGGTGTCGTGGAGCACGGAGCCCGTCTCCCAGTTCTTGATTTTCACAAAGCGGGGACATTTGGAAGGGCTCCCGTTCTTGGTTGGGGACTGGCGCCCGGATGGAGGCGGCTGGAAAAGAGGGAACACCCAGCACAAAGTCAGAACTCATCAGCAAAATGCAGGAAAAGGTCCCAACAACACAGCATCGTCTGTGGCTGGATGGCTGTGTATAAATTCCAGCGGGGACACAGCCAGACAAGGTGGGTTATCCCAATATTTGGCTTTATTTGGGATCCTACAGTGGAGCAGCTGACTCGCAGGTGAATAAAGAAGTCGTGTCTGGTTATGGGACAGCAAAACTTGTGGAAAATGAGCTAAAAGCAGATGTGGAAGTGACTTGGAGAATGTTGTGTTCAGGTTTCTTAGAGGAAGACTCTCCTCCAAAATCTGTGGGATGTTTCTTGCCAAGGAGCATCACCTGCTCAGGTTCTGCAGGTGCCAAGCTCTGCCTGGAAGAACAAAGAGCTGAGCACCAATCTGAGCAAGCCAAAGGCACAGCTCCTCTGATACCAATGCTGGAAAGCTTGTAGGAATGGGGATGGATCAATTACTCAAGTTGGGGGGATGCTGAATCATGAGTGTAGTTGGATTTCTCCAGCTCAGCTCCCTGGCACTGCCTTGGGATGGGCTCATCCAGCTCTGCCTGAGATCTGTGCCAGCACAGAGGAGCAGAACTGGCTACAGGTGCTCCTTTTTGCATGTTTTCACAGACAAAACTGCAATTTTCTGCTGTGGCCCTTACCCCAAGCACTTAGAGCTTCAAGAGCCATCGGAGTCTGCCCATGGGGACAGGGCAGTCTGTCTGCAGTGGCTCTGGGCAGCAGAGCTGTGTCTCCTAGGAATCAGGGATGTAATTCCAGCACTGGAACCATGGCACTGCTGCTGCAGGAGACATCTGAGAGTGTCCTGGCCAAAGCTGCCGGTGTTTGGCACCACTTCAAGGCTCTGCACAGCAGCTCTGGGCTGGACTGGCTCTGTCCCTTCCCACAGGAATCCTGGGGCTGGTGTTCCTTTTGAATTAATCTGGTTTTCCTGAAGCTGACGCTGCCTTCAGTAGAATGTCACCTGCTTTCTGGGGATCCTGGGCTCCTGTCACCCTTACAGCAGCA